TTCACATTTTTTCTCTGCATGGAATTTACCAATTCAAACTTTCCCAAGGCTCTCGTGAAGGTCACTGCTGGGTTATCAAAAAATAGGTTTACACTTTACTTTTCACTGATCAGGTGAAAACATCAAACATTGTCTGAGACGTGAGGATTCACTGCGTTCATTTCCAAACCAAACATCTTACAGATTTTAAAGGGCCGATTCATTTGAAAACAGCTTAAAGGTTCAAGTCTAATTCTCATTGTGAATCAATATTTGTTATAATCATTCTGTGTGTATTTCATATTCTTCGTCCCAAAAATAGTTTAATAACCTAATCCTGTTTCAGTGTTTGCTTTTCTTCATCGTGTTCACTGTTTCTGAGGTAAGGCGTATTTCACAGTCGTGTAGTTTCCCAAACAGTTTCTACTGAGGTTCCTGCAGAAGACTAATTCCAATAATTAGCACAAACAGAGACGGGTCTCTGCTGGGACACTCGGAGTTAATCGCATCTAATTAATAGCGGCGGCTAATAGTTAAACTAACAAAGTCACTCGTCAGTGCACAGCAGGTCACTGTAATGTGTTTGGCGATAAGGACGAGAAGGACTTCTTTGTAATGAATGGAAACACTAAGAATGTTTGATTGTTTTTGTGAGACATCCGTCCATCCATCCGTTCTCTGCTGATTCATTCAGATCTTTAAGAAAGCTATGGCTCACCAGTCCATCTCAGGGCCAAATATACAGAAAAAAACATCATTCACACTCCAAAAATCCACAGCCAGAGTTGGAGCTTTTCACACCTAATATCTTTTACATTTTCAATTCAACCTGACCTTTAATCTGCATATACCTGTACCATGTAATGTAATTAATTGAAAGAAAATAGAATTAATTAAAATTACAATATAGTTTTACATCCCACTGTAAAATAACCATAGAATTTGTGAATGGGCAGAGTATTTTTACCTGGCTTTTTTAAGATAGGCTATGATGCATTTTCTATAGACATTTCAAGCAAATAAAACAACAATAATAATAATAATAATAATACTCATCATCATCCTAGGGGTTTTCGTGCAAAAAATATTTCTTCAACCATCTGGTTTAATGGTTTTAAATTCCATTTTCCTCTTTTCTTCTAATTCCAGATTGTGCGGACAGACGACTGGCACGGTATAAATGTCATCGTGGGCTACTCCAGGTAATTTCCCTCTCCATATGGCAATAAAAACTCAGTCTGCAACAGTTTTATTTTAATATTTAAAGGGAAATTTGGTAAGTGGTCCATGACTTGTTCTTACGTGGTCATAAAATAACCATTAGATCTTCTCTCATCAAATACCACCTACTTTGTAGCCGCAAAGGAAAGAAGGTTAACTCCGGTCATAAACCCGAGACATAAAGTCTTTACTTACAAAGGCCTGGTGCTGAAGTGTGTGGTCGCCTGTTCAGATGGCACAGAGCCCTCACCCCGCTCTTACAGAGGAGCGTCTCTGTTGAAGTTGGACTGTGGACAGGAAAGACAAAGCAGGTTAGGGGACACGAGGCTCATAGCTGTGCTGTACAGTATATACAAACAGTAGGTCCAGCCCACGTTTATGTAGTCCATCTGGGTACAATCCCGACCTGAATCTGGATTAGTGGGCATACTGTAGTTTACTGCTAAAAGCTACGGGCACAACAAAAGGAAAAGAAAAATCCTCTGAATTTAATTTCCCATAAATCATCTCAACATAGAATCTTTGAAGTGGCTTGGGCTTAGAGCACTTTCCAACCGTAAGAGGTGGAGGCAGTGACAGTAAGTGGTGTGTGTGTGTGTGTGTATTGGAACGGGGGGGCGTCAGCTCAGGAGCATTCCCAGAATTAATGATTTAAGAGGTAAGGAATCGGTAGTTGTGAAATGAAGTTGGTGACGTTAAGGGTGAAAGTGTTTAAGAGACGCAAAAGTAGATTAAAACAAGGGCAGGTGACGAAAGGAGAGGCAAGATGAGGTGGCTGAAGATGAGAGGAGAAAAGAGGAGAGGTAAAGGGAGAAGGAAGAAAGAAGAATGTGGAGAGAAGAGGATGTGAGGAGTCAGAAAAAGGAGCTACAGCTGTATTGTGATGCTGAGAGCATGTGATAATCCACACATAAATAGAAAGTGTGAACCAAAAGGAAACACAGCAATAGAAGAATACCTGCTAAGCCTTATTTGGAATCTCGTTGTTTGCAGCTTGTCATCTTCTGTGGACCCAGAAGTGGGAGGGAGGGAGGGGGAGCAGAGGAGGGAGGCAGTGCCGTTGTACGGGCATGTGGCCAAATGTGAAACCTGTGGGGGGAAAAAGACTCAACTGTGCCTGTTTGCACCTTAGCCCGTGTTGAATTAATACTGTTATGAGCAACAAAACGTTAGATTAGCGTGGAGGTGGGCAGATGGTTAAGAGCATTAGGCAGATACCTGCCAAGAGGGGCCGCTCACTCCTGCCCCAGCTATTAGAATTCACAGGCAGCCCCAGCTGCTGAGCAGCCATGGCATATGGCCCGCTAAATATTGACTGATGTTTTAATTACCCTTTGGAACAATCTAATAATGAATCAAAAATCACAAAACTGTTTCTCTTTTATTCCCCCTGCATAACAAAGCTACGACTCCCTCCTGTGGACACTTTGATTAAAGCACCTCAAAGGTGTGGTGTTTACATCTTTTATCTTTTCTTCACAAGCATGGTCACAATCCATTAATCACTTAATTTGAAGTATAAATCACAGACTAGAGATCGGACTGAGACGCTGTGACTCGAGCCGTACCGGATCATTTGGTACCAGTCTGCAGAAAAACAAATACTAATAAAAAAAGTAACGACCAAATCGGCCAAATCCGGCCCACCAAACTGTCCTATCAGGACCAAAACTGGATTCCTAAATAAACGTTAAATAATAATGTTAGACAAAAATGTGATTTTACTCGACACTCAAAAACATTGGGTCTTGTTTACAACATTGAGAACTGTGGCCCTTACTTGCAGGCTATATCTGTCTATACAGAAGATTGTCTTGGGCTTAAGAAGGGATCCCTGTTTGACTGTGGTTTATATCTGTGTGTGTTTGTTGCTGTGTCCTGTCAACCACTATTTTAAAACCTTCTTATACAGAATTAAGCACATTACTGTAGCAAAGGGAGAAAAAGAGCTTTTGTCGTCATAGCTAAGTACACAAAGCTCCTTTTGACAACCACTGAATTCAAACTAAAACTGCACCAGTGCCAGTGGAAGTCAAGTCCTGGTAATTTAGCAAATTTGGGAAAATGTACCTGAGCCCTGAGCTTAACTGCAGGAGTGTTTAACTGTGACACATTAAAGTTTACAGGCTGCCAGACATGGACTGTTGAAATTATTTGAACCAAGTAATGACATTTCCTGGGCTACTTCCCACTGCTGTTACACAAGAAAGTGTAGGGGTTTTATATTTTGTTTTGTTGACGTTTTTATTCTTACCTAATCCATTTACAGCATAACATACATTTCTGGAAACTTTACAATCCCCTAGATTTAAAACAATTATTAATTAAATAATTAAAAATATTTAACATTGTTTTTAAGGGGTAATAAAATGGAGAAATTAAAAATTGTACTGGTGTCTTTTTAGGAACATTTATTTACCTGATTTTATAATTGTTATATACAGTGCAGTATAGATGGACATCTGCTCCATTGGGTTTAGGCGTTTTGACTTTTTAGCTGAGAATTTGATGATATGTTAAGGCCATTGCATTTTCCTACCTTAGGCCTTAAACAGTTAAACTAAATCCTAGAGTATAAACTTTTCAAGGAAACAATGTAGCTGTTATGAGCGTTTGTTTTTGAAAATAATTTGATTTGAGTGCATGTGTTTCATTTATATATGTGTAGATACAGTCTCTACAGCTCTGTGCCTGTCACCGGACAAGGGTTAAAAAAAAACAGCTGCACTTAGATCTGTGGTCAGAGATAAAATATGTAATTTCTCACCCAACCGTCATGGGAACAGAGTTTGGTGCTAAAGTGTTTTTCTTTGCATTTTTAGTGCTTTTAATTCATTGACTACATACACAGCACCTGCTGTATTTGGCACCTAGTAGTGTTGATGTGTGTGTGCACGTGTTGGTGCAGTTTGCATTCACTTATAGCAACTGTATTATCACAGAAAGTCTGGTTGGAGCTCCGCTCCGGTGGTGTTTGCACAGCAGCGTACTGTACATTTTATTTCCTTCACAGAAACAAAGTAGAGCCATGGATAGGGCCCGGATGGAGGAGGTATGGGGGGGATTGGCTGCTCTGAGTGGGTGTGAGGGAGTGAGTGGGAGCGGAAACATGCCTTGTCGCACATCAAACTCCTCGCAGGCTGGAGGAGGAGTTCAGAGGAGGCATGCGGAAGAAATGTAAAAAAAAATCGGCGAAGGCTCTGCATCCAACGACTTAGCATGAAAGAGAGAGGGCGAGCAGATGAAGAACAGTGAGAACCACACTACTTCTTGCCAACCGCTGTGGAAAAAGCAGCAGCTTCTTCTCTGTATTGCTGTTGTTTCAGGGCAGGCTGTCAGTGAGGTTGTTAAAATATGAAGCAACAGTTGGACGGACAGAAACCTGCTGTGTATATTGTTCTACTTTGATTACATGAAATTCCCCTCTAATTTTGCCTGTTCCCCAGCACAGGCCAGCAGCTGATATTGAGAACATCTGAGAGCTCTCAGTGCAAAAGTGTGTGTGTGTGTGTGTGTGTGTTGGAGAATGGCCTGGAAAATAAGGCTATGAGGTTTAATGGCTGATTGAATCTTTCACCTCCACATATGTGCAGTGTCACATAGGTAACTGGGTTTCACAAGATCCACGGAGCCCGTCTGTGTAAAAACACATAATTCAAATGAAGGTTGTTCAACAAAAAGAACTAGAGAACCAGACGACAAGAAATCAATATCTTTAAAGATGTCAGTAGTGCAGTGCATGTACTTTTAAATACTGCGGTCATCTCACACAATTATGTACAATGACACCACTTTCTTTGTTAAGTCATTTTATCGACAATAGTGCGTTAGGTAAACTTTTTTGTCGGTAGGTAAACATGCTAGCTTTTAGTGCTGCGGTGCAGCGTTCTCAGCTGTGTAAACTGCACAGCGAATGGCTCGTCCG